ATATCGGTGCTCCAGGTTCCTCGGCCCGGTCTCTGCTTTACTCTGGGGAATATTTGATGTTGCAGGTTAAGGTTTTTATACTGGGACAGGAATGTAGGAGGAGTTGTCTCATCGTTTACTTCCTATAAACTCTTTTTTTTAAAGAAAACAAATGTTATGTTTTTATTTTCAGATTCCTTTGTGCAGGGGATGCTGGGAGTTGTGACTGGTGGTCTCCTCTGTGTAAAGGATGCTGGGAGTTGCGTGACTGGCAGTATTCTGTATGCATCGGATGCTGGGGTTTGCGTGGGAGTTGTGTGTAATTGGCGGTGTCCCTTGTGCAGGGGATGCTGGGAGTTGTGTGTAATTGGCGGTGTCCCTTGTGCAGGGGATGCTGGGAGTTGTGTGTAATTGGCGGTGTCCCTTGTAAGGGGATGCTGGGAGTTGTGTGTAATTGGCGGTGTCCCTTGTGCAGGGGATGCTGGGAGTTGTGTGTAATTGGCGGTGTCCCTTGTGCAGGGGATGCTGGGAGTTGTGTGTAATTGGCGGTGTCCCTTGTAAGGGGATGCTGGGAGTTGTGTGTAATTGGCGGTGTCCCTTGTACAGGGGATGCTGGGAGTTGTGTGTAATTGTCGGTGTCCCTTGTAAGGGGATGCTGGGAGTTGCGTGTAATTGGCGGTGTCCCTTGTGCAGGGGATGCTGGGAGTTGTGTGTAATTGGCGGTGTCCCTTGTGCAGGGGATGCTGGGAGTTGTGTGTAATTGGCGGTGTCCCTTGTGCAGGGGATGCTGGGTAATGTGTTTAATTCGCACTCTCCTATGTGGAGGTCACGCGTCAGCTATTCATATCATCGTTTGCTGCAGTACATTACACAGACATCACAAAATATGAAATGACAAAAGGACAACACACGCGGCTCCACTGTAGTACAAATATTTTTATAATTATTGTAATACCGGTTTCAGAGTTTTCCAAAAATACAACTTTTCAGATTTTCATCACTTCATAACAGCCTGCATAGGGCGCCTTCCCTGTGTGATCTCAAAGGATCTGTGGTGGGGGCTCTCCCTGTGTAATCTCCCAGGATCTGTGGTGTGGGCTCTCCCTGTGTGATCTCAAAGGATCTGTGGTGGGGGCTCTCCCTGTGTAAGCCACCAGGATCTGCAGTGGGGGCTCTCCCTGTGTAATCTCCCAGGATCTGTGGTGGGGGCTCTCCCTGTGTGATCTCAAAGGATCTGTGGTGGGGGCTCTCGCTGTGTAAGCCACCAGGATCAGTGTGAATCCCATGTGTATTTGCAAATGTATGTAACTAACTTTTTTTGCTCGCTAGCTTGAAAGTGTGGTGGGGACCCCCTTTGTACCATCTGCAAAGAGAGGAGAGACTCACCCCTGGCAGAGAGATCACCGTTCTGTATCCCTCTATGGGGAGAGACTCGCCCTGGCAGAGAGATCACCATTCTGTATCCGCCTATGGGGAGAGACTCGCCCTGGCAGAGAGATCACCGTCCTGTATCCGTCTATGGGGAGAGACTCGCCCTGGCAGAGAGATCACCGTCCTGTATCCGTCTATGGGGAGAGACTCGCCCTGGCAGAGAGATCACCGTCCTGTATCCGTCTATGGGGAGAGACTCGCCCTGGCAGAGAGATCACCGTCCTGTATCCGTCTATGGGGAGAGACTCGCCCTGGCAGAGAGATCACCGTCCTGTATCCGTCTATGGGGAGAGACTCGCCCTGGCAGAGAGATCACCGTCCTGTATCCGTCTATGGGGAGAGACTCGCCCTGGCAGAGAGATCACCGTCCTGTATCCGTCTATGGGGAGAGACTCGCCCTGGCAGAGAGATCACCGTCCTGTATCCGTCTATGGGGAGAGACTCGCCCTGGCAGAGAGATCACCGTCCTGTATCCGTCTATGGGGAGAGACTCGCCCTGGCAGAGAGATCACCGTCCTGTATCCGTCTATGGGGAGAGACTCGCCCTGGCAGAGAGATCACCGTCCTGTATCCGTCTATGGGGAGAGACTCGCCCTGGCAGAGAGATCACCGTCCTGTATCCGTCTATGGGGAGAGACTCGTCCTGGCAGAGAGATCACCATTCTGTATCTGTCTATGGGGAGAGACTCGTCTTGGCAGAGAGATCACCATTCTGTATCCATCTATGGGGAGAGACTCGCCCTGGCAGAGAGATCACCATTCTGTATCGGTCTATGGGGAGAGACTCGTCCTGGCAGAGAGATCACCATTCTGTATCCGTCTATAGGGGGAGAGACTCGTCCTGGCAGAGAGATCAGCAATCTGTATCCGTCTATGGGGAGAGTCTCGTCCTCGCAGGGAGATCACCATTCTGTATCCGTCTATGGGGAGAGTCTCGCCCTCGCAGGGAGATCACCATTCTGTATCCGTCTATGGGGAGAGTCTCGCCCTCGCAGGGAGATCACCATTCTGTATCCGTCTATGGGGAGAGTCTCGCCCTCGCAGGGAGATCACCATTCTGTATCCGTCTATAGGGGGAGAGACTCGCCCTGGCAGAGAGATAACCGTCCTGTATCCGTCTATGGGGAGAGACTCGCCCTGGCAGAGAGATCACCATTCTGTATCGGTCTATGGGGAGAGACTCGTCCTGGCAGAGAGATCACCATTCTGTATCCGTCTATAGGGGGAGAGACTCGTCCTGGCAGAGAGATCACCAATCTGTATCCGTCTATGGGGAGAGTCTCGCCCTCGCAGGGAGATCACCATTCTGTATCCGTCTATGGGGAGAGTCTCGCCCTCGCAGGGAGATCACCATTCTGTATCCGTCTATAGGGGGAGAGACTCGCCCTGGCAGAGAGATAACCGTCCTGTATCCGTCTATGGGGAGAGACTCGCCCTGGCAGAGAGATCACCATTCTGTATCCGTCTATAGGGGGAGAGACTCGTCCTGGCAGAGAGATCACCATTCTGTATCCGTCTATGGGGAGAGACTCATCCTGGCAGAGAGATCACCATTCTGTATCCATCTATAGGGGGAGAGACTCGTCCTGGCAGAGAGATCACCATTCTGTATCCGTCTATGGGGAGAGACTCGTCCTGGCAGAGAGATCACCGTCCTGTATCCATCTATGGGGAGAGACTTACCCCTGGCAGATAGATCATTGTACTGTGTCCATCTTTGAGAAAAGACTCACCACCGTTGGAGGGATTGTTCACTCTACATATACTATGTGAGACCATATAAAGGAAAGGGAGACCACAAGGCGGCAATCACTAGATTATAGGACAGAACAGTAGAGGTGCTCCTCGCACATTATAACGACGCCATCTTTCCCCCCTTCTATTATTTATACACTTTTTGTGTTTGGATGTATACTATAGATTGGTCAGCAGAGGGCGCTCCTCCCGCATAATGGCTTCTACTACTTATATACAGTCCGTAGGACACAGGTGATGTGTAAAGGGTGTATATTATGGACTGGTCAGCAGGGGGCGATCTTCTCCCATTGTGAAAATGGGGGTCTTCTCCATACTGCAGAGAATCATTGACCCTGGCAGTCTGCAGGGCAGAGATCTCCAGCGATTTTAAGAATTGAGACCAGCAGATGATACTATGAACATTCCAAATCCTGTTACATGAGTTATATATCCCATTCAAAGCAGGTACTTCCTAGGGCACATCCAGAGCACAGACCCAGCGTCTACATCAATCAGTTGCCATACACAGATGTACATGCTGCCTGCACTGATATATTGGGCTGCAGTGAGGGTCTGTCTTGGCTAGCCAGCCTCTCCACCTTTCAGTGATGATGGCCCAGGTCCTTATATAGTGGCATGATACCAGTACATATGAATGGTAGGGCCAGAGCACATGTAGGGTAGATGTTGGGCCCAATGGGCACTTTTAGGCAAAAGCCTTGTGTAGTTTCCATCCGCCAAATGAACTGTGTATCCACACCGAAATTGGGGCAGGACTTCTGGGATACCATTGTTGACCTCAAGGCAATCCGTCCATTTTGAGTAAGAATCTATGTACATTGATAGGTCACAGCTCCGTAGTTTTCCGGTTCCCCGGGGCAGTCCCATGGCACTGCTGATAGTGGGTCTTGGTACCTGCTGAAGAGTTACTACACCAGCCTGGCTGTCCAGAGCCCCGGTGCCGGTACCACAAGACCAAACCAACAGTGAGCAGAACAACCAGGCCGGTAATGACCCCAAACACAATGACAATGATTAGCTGCAGTTTGCTCAGCCCCTGTTCCCGCTGGGTCACCACCTCCTTAACTGAGATTTTGAAGTGTCCAGGTTTGTCCATGGAAACGGGACTCCAGCGGCTTGTGCCAACTGTCCTTGTGGGCTGGGTCTGAGACGTGAGGTCCCTTGCTGATGTCCCAGACTGGTAGTCCCATGTGGACCTGGGAACGGGGATTTCGCAGGACTTCCCAATAAATCCCTCAATACAGTAACATTCATAGTCCCCAACCCGGTCAAAGCAGCGTCCTCCATTCTGACACGGCTGCCCCACGCAATCATCCATGTTAACTGTGCAGAATCGTCCCTGGAAGCCGTAAGGACATTCACATGAGAAGCGGTTCACCCCATCGATGCAGGTGGCTCCATTGGCACAAGGCCTCATCAAGCAATCGTCCACGTCTGTCTCGCACAGTCTGCCAACGTATCCGGCCAAGCAGCGGCAGGTGAATGCATCTGCAAACCCGCTATCGTCCTGGCAGGTGCCACCATTCAGACAGGGAAACCTGCGTGGAGAATAAATGGTATACTAGTGAGGATATTGTCGGATCACCCCACCCCCATCTTTCCCAAACACCCAGATGTGCCATTTCTTTCCTTTCATATAAAGTATGAATCACCAGCCGAGCGTACTCTCCATCCAGAAAGATTTGTGCAGTGCTATTTTCAGTATTGCAGTTTCTCTCCATCCTTTATTGTGGAATGCAGCCCCCTTTCACCCTTTACTGCTGCCGAATGCAACCCCTGTCCACCTTTTATGGCCAAACGTGCCCACTCTCCACCCTTTGTATCCAAAAGTGCATCCGTTGTCACCAAAAGTGGTACCTGCCTATTTTTGCAGTTGAGCACTTCCCTTGTTCACTTATGGGCAAGCACTGCTCAACTCTAACCTTTGTGGCCAAACACTGCCCCACTGCAACCTTTGTGGCCAAACACTGCCCCACTGCAACCTTTGTGGCCAAACACTGCCCCACTGCAACCTTTGTGGCCGAAAGGTGCCCCACTGCACCCTTTGCAGCCAAACACTGCCCCACTGCAACCTTTGTGGCCAAACACTGCCCCACTGCAAGCTTTGTGGCCGGAAGGTGCCCCACTGCACCCTTTGCAGCCAAACATGGCCCCACTGCAACTTTTGCAGCCGAACAGGATTTTAGTAGTATTTAGATGTGGTGATATTTTAGGTAACAGGCTGCTCTCTAAGATCTAATGGGTCTGAGGACGAGGTCCCTGTATTGCCAGTAGTTAGTTTGGTAGAGTGAAGAGAACCTCAGGTGTATAGTTGAGAGTCCAGTACAATTTTTATTAGTCAATGGATAGCCAACACATTTTGGGGGCACAACCATTCTCCTTTCAATCAGGTTTTGTAAAGGAGTGGGTTTGAATACAGTTGGACCGAGAATGGGTATCCCGGAGTGGATTTCTCCAGCATGGGTTGAAGGCATGCTCTGACTACTCTTATAACAAATAAAAATTGAACTGGACTGTTGGCCATACGTCCGCCACTCTTTTTATTGTATGGAAGTTACAGGTGGCCTTCTACGACCTCTGAATTCTACTCATTCCCATATCATATCTCTTGTGGTATCCCGTACCCCTCCGCCTCGCAGGGTCCTCTCTTCAGCTCGCAGTTCTTGCCGTGAAAGGCTTCTGGGCAGTTACAGATGTCATCTCCATCCGCACTGATGACACATTCACCCCCATTCCGGCACGGGTCCGAGTGTTCACATAGGTGGAGATCTGAGGAGAGAAAATGGGTCATTATTGAGGACTCCCATCATCTGAAGGAAATCTGCACCTTCCTCCAATAATAAAACCTATAACCACCTCTGTACAGATGGAGAGATTGCGTGTGGCAATGGCAGGCTGGGAGATTTTGGGTTTTACCCTTAATGGCACAAAAAAGCTCACCAGTGGTGATATTATTTGGGGAGCAGTGATTGGGCCGTGTCCTGATCCTTTCACCCGTGGGACAGGCACTGAAATCTAACTTCAGTTATCACTAATATAATCGGCTCTGTCTTTGCTCAAAGCAGTGCTGGAAATCCCTAGCAATGGAGGGACATGTCAACAGCAAAGGGATGACTCCATAGGATAATGGTAATGGTTCTGTCAGTGGCGAAGTGTTGCTGGAGACTGAATCACCCATCTTGTGGTAATGTAGACACCAATACCTCATGGACGGTCCAAGAGGGCCGCAAGGAAAGGTGAGCACGCTCGCCTGATTCCATCTGTTGGATGCTGACACATTTGTCTGTGGACACCTTGCCATCACATCTCCATAAGTTTATTTGACATCTCATTCCAAACCCACATCCATGAAGATTGAGCTGACCCTCTCCCCTTGTGGCCATAGCAGCCTCCACTCTTCTGGAAAGGCTTTCCCTAAAGATTTTCGAGGTTGCCTGTGGGAATTTGTGTCCATATGTGAGGTCATGTATAGATGTTGTATGAGATCTGGCTCACAATTGGCGTTTCCAATTCATCCCCAAAGGTGATCAGTAGGGTTGAGGTTAGAGCTCTGTGCAGGACACTCGAGTTCCTCCACATCAAACTGGTAAAACCATGGCTTTATGGAGCCGAATTTGTACACGGGAAAGTCATGGTGGAACAGTAAAGCAATTGTTCCCACGAGGTTGGAAGGCACAATTGTCTACAATGTCTTTGTATGATGTAGTATTACCAGGACCCTTCACTGGAAACATCTGAGCTCCGTCATTGGAGGAGAGGGCCACATACGTCTGTACATTTTGTATGTAAACCCCCGATCTAATGTTAGACACAATTTTAGCGCTTTTGATCTTATATGTCATGAATTTTGTCCGTTTTGCAGTTTGGAGGCTGACAGTGACATCTTTAGATTTCTGAGTTATATTTCCAGCTTTCACTACACATGGAAAGGCATGTAGTCAAGAACCAGCTGCACTGCTTACCGGAATAGTAGTAAACCTGCCAAGCAGGTGGGTGCTTGTAGTGACCACGGACGGCCCCGTGAACAATGCAGATCTAGAAAGGATTGTCACCAGCACACCAAAAGTTTTGAAGCAAAAAGTCCTTTATTGACAAATCGCCATCCAATACAAGCGCTTTCGGGGTCTCAGCAGTACCCCTTCATCAGGCTCAGAATGACACAGGACAGGCGACAGGGCATACATTAGTGGATTACAGGTGAGCCTCATTTGAGTGCAGAATGGCGGGAATATACGGTGTTCCAGCTGCAACTGGTGGGAGTGGTCTGTTTTTAATATGCACTGGTATGTCTATTTAAAGGTGATGGTTTGCTTTACTGTGTCATTCTGAGCCTGATGAAGGGGTACTGCTGAGACCCCGAAAGCGCTTGTATTGGATGGCGATTTGTCAATAAAGGACTTTTTGCTTCAAAACCTTTGGTGTGCTGGTGACAATCCTTTCTAGAGCTACACATGGAAAGGAACGCACACAGACACTCCGCTCACCTTTGTCACAGAAGTTGCCGGCCCAGCCGCTCCGGCACATGCACTGCCAGGGTTGGTGGCACGCCCCATGAACGCAGCCCGGCATCCTCACACAGTCTTCACAATACAGGCCGTCCCAGCCGGGGTCACACCTGAGAAAAGTCAGAAAGGATCATTCTGGGGGTCATGTTGTGTTGTGAGAAATGTCTGACACCAATATTGATCATGACTACACAAGACATGCCACCCGCAGTGCTCGCTGGAAGCGTTTTCTATTCTGCAAAATGAGCGGGCTCTGACCCTTCCAGGGAGTCATCACATATAGGAAATGGTGAAACGTGACAGAGGCAAATTTGACTTCCTGTTAGTGGCCTCACCTGCACACTCTGTCCTCGTCACAGTGTCCGTGGTACAGGTCACAGCGCTCCGCGCAGTCCTCAGCTGTGGGGAACACAATGATGAGTCTGGGTGCTGCTACACATGTGAATATCAGGATCCTGCACTGTGTGGTCATGGTGAGGTGACACCAGTGCAGAATATACGCATGGCAAGTTCAGGGTGACAATAGTGGCGGATAATGTGGGGGACTCACCTTCCACAGATGTCCAGAACAAGACCCAACACAAGGCGGAGAGCAGGACAGGAGAGCAGCCGAGCATTGTCAGCACTGCAGCGGCTACAGGAAGATAAACAGAGTGATGTCACTGCAACACAACGCATGGTACACTGTGCAACACACAGACCGCATGGTACGCTGTGCCACACTGCAACACAGACCGCATAGTACACTGCAACACACACACACACCACATGGTACACTGTGCCACACTGCAACACACACACCGCATGGTACGCTGTGGCACACTGCAACACAGACCGCATAGTACACTGCAACACACACACAACACACGGTACACTGTGCCACACTGCAACACACAGTACACTGCAACACACACCGCATAATACACTGCAACACACATTGCATGGAACACGGTGCCACACTGCAACACACCGCATAGTACACCTCAACACACACTGCAAGGTACACTGTGCCACACTGCAACACACACACCGCATGGTACGCTGTGGCACACTGCAACACAGACCGCATAGTACACTGCAACACACACACAACACACGGTACACTGTGCCACACTGCAACACACAGTACACTGCAACACACACCGCATAATACACTGCAACACACATTGCATGGAACACGGTGCCACACTGCAACACACCGCATAGTACACCTCAACACACACTGCAAGGTACACTGTGCCACACAGCAACACACACCGCACAGTACACTGCAACAGACACTACTCAGTACACCGCACCACACTGCAATACACACCACATGGTACACCGTGCCACACTGCAACACACCGCATAGTACACCTCAACACACACTGCAAGGTACACTGTGCCACACAGCAACACACACCGCACAGTACACTGCAACAGACACTACTCAGTACACCGCACCACACTGCAATACACACCACATGGTACACCGTGCCACACTGCAACACACACTGCACAGTATGCTGCACCTCACTACACACACTGCAAAATATGCTCAATCCACTGTGCCACACTGCCTAATACCCTGTACAACTCTGCAAGACACACTGCTTAATACACTACGCAACAGTGCACCCGAATGGAACATACACTGTTCAATACACTACACCCCAGTGCACAATATACTGTGCCACGCTGTAACACACACACACACACACACAGCGCTTTGTAATAAGCCACACTGCAACAGACACTTATCTATATACTGAAATGCATGCTGCATGATATACTGCACCCGGCTGCAATAAGCCACCCTGTAGAACACACCGCAGTCACTATACCCACGCACACCGCCGTCCTGGCCGCCCATACCTGCCTACAGTGGAAGGGCCGGCTGGTTGTCCAGCTGTTTATGGGCAGAGAAGAAAAGTTGGCTCCATCCTGGGAAGAGGCGAGTCCATCAGAGCCGAAGAGCGCAATCCTCACCTGTGGAGACATCATAGAAGGTTAAAGTGGCATCATGTGACATGGAAGGCAATACCGTGACAGTCCGAGAGAGATCCCAGGACAGGCGCTGCTGAGCTGAACAAGGTGAGTTATCACCATACACAGGAAGAGCAGTACATTTGCAGAATGCCCTGTGAGGTGCCATTTATTTATTTATTGCATGTGTTTATACAGCAACAACCATTTACTCCGAATAGGAGGTGCTCAGGCAGAGCCGTGACACAGGACAGATGGCAGATGAATAGCAGCGGTTCACCAAGCTTTTTAATGCCCGGTGATGTCACTGGTATGTTTGATTGTGCTTGAGCTTCTTCCTCTGCTGAGATCAGCCGGTTGTACGTGTGTGCTACCATATAATCAGACTCACTTCATATTGTTTCCAGATATTTCTCAGCACGTTGGGCAATTTACAAATGGCAATTGCTCCTTTTGTATAGAAAGAAGACTGGCGGTGATATTTGTAGTTCTTCTGGCACATGAAATACTTATTTCCTATGCTCCTCGGCTCCATCTAGGGGCCACAATGCGGTATTACAAGATGGCATTCAAAAATACATTCAAACTTATGAAGAACGTGAGCGTTAATTCTGTGCATGCATTCACACTGGACGAACGTTCGCAGAGATCGGCAGGGCCAATTGCTCTGCGAATTGTTTGTTAATAGACCCCAATGTGTATTCAACTGACTGAAATCTACTTTCCAAACTGTCTGCCTTTTGTTCTCCACCCATTGACCTGTATTTTCTCCCCGTCCATTAACCCGCCTCTATGACTCTGGGGGGGTTAGCAATATCCCCCTTGTGGACACCTGTACTGATCACTGTCTGCGGTCAGAACCGCTTCCCTCTTCTGAGGCCTCCATTGCTCAAAAGCAGCACGCCTCCCTCTTCATGCATATGCAGGGAGTACTTCTCAGCTGCCATGTCTGATTTTATGGGAAAGATTTCGGCCCTTTTGGTGACCTCAGAACACCGGTGCTGCAAACAGCCCTCCTCTGCACCCAGTCAATTTCAGATGCTGCTCCCTGAGGAGCAGCCAGGGAAAGAGGAGAGGCGATTCCTCTTCTGAGTCTGAGGATTCAGAATAGGGGGGTGCACATTCACCCATTATTTCACCTAAGTTTAAAGACACCATCTTGGTCCTTACTAAAGCAGTACATACATGACTGGCACTGGAAACTCTAGTGTCCTCTAGACCATTGCTTCTTAAAGTGTGGGTCACAACCCCATATGGGGTCCCACAAGTGAACAGGGGGGTCGCGATCTGAGTCCCCGGTCAGGACCGCCATTAGGGGGGCCCACATTTTTGTTTAATGTGCAGTGTAGTCTAGTTTTTAAGGATGCAACTCCCCGTGCACTTGGTACCTTCCTGAGCATGTGCGTGCAGGAAGGTTTTTTGGGTTTTTTTTTTACATTGACGGAGCTTCCTTTAACCCAGCAGAAGTGGAGCACAGCTGCTGGAGGTAAAGATAAGGAGGGAGAGGGGGCTTAGTTGTAGGTGGTAATGACACACTGACTGTCCGTCCACGGCGGCGCGGGGGGTCCCCTAAAAATTTCCTCGGCCAAAAAGGGGTCACAAGTGGAGAAAGTTTAAGAAGGCCTGCTCTAGACCCTTGGTTATCAACTGGTGGGTCGCAACCCCGTATTCAGCGGGTCATCGCATGCTTTCCACTTTTCTAGGCGAGAGGCTACTCTGCCTCCCCATAGCACAGCGCTGTCAGTTCTTGTGCCAAGCAGCCATTCAAAATATGCTGCCTGGAGCCAAGTGTCAGTCTGAGGTGGGGTGGGCTGGGGATATGGCCGCGAGGGAGCTCCATCTATACGTGCATTGCTTACAGTTCCTTCACTTGTCCTATAACAGTGCCATGGTGACATCACATTCTGGCTCCCAGCACCTCTACAGGGCACGCAAGGGAGCTGTACAAGTAGAGCACATATGGATGGATGTCCATTACAGCACAGCAGCCCACACTGGACCCCAGTTCTCGTAAGGTAGGGAGACTGGGTGGACCTTAAAAAAAAATTACATTAAATGTAAACATTTTTTGGAGTGTGTATATGTGTGTGAGAATGTGACTGTGGTTATGTATGTCAGTGTTTTTGAGGGCCTGTTCACACTAGTACAGTGCATTAATCGCATAATACCATGCGATTAACGCAGTGTACCACTCAAGCACACCTACCGTGCATTCGGGTGTGGGAGGTGTGTTGCGTTGCCACTCATTTGAATGGTACCCCAAACACACCTCCCACCCACAGTTTGTACACCCGCACCGGAAAACATGATACCCTAATGCCATGCGTTCCATTGCAGTGCGACTTGGGCCGCAACTTAATGACCAATGACAAATGTGGGTCCTGAGGTTACACAGGTTGAGAGCCGCTGCTCTAGACCTAAGATTGCCAGCATGGGTTCACTAAAACTGCCCATGCCTGCCAAGACCTTCCCTGTACTATTACTTGTAGATGGCTAGGTGTTACCCCAAAAAACTCTTTGTCCCCCCTTGCAGATTGCCGAGAGATTACCCAAAAGGTTTCCTGTTGTGGGCCATGCATTTCTTCTCTGGACAAGACTCTGATGGTCCCATTGTGGATGTTCCTGTCTTCAAGGATCCAGGGGACAAGAGGTTAGAGACCCTTTTCAATTCCTCATTGGCCCCACCCGGTGGTCCTGCTATGCAACCTACAGTTGCCTCCACGGCAGTTTGCCAGACCCTGGCTGTGTGGACTAAGCACATGGTCCAAGATCTTGGTTCTGTTATCAGGGATCCATCTTTATGTCACCGCATGGATGGATTGGTGGACACTCTTCATCAAATGTCCAGGAGGAGCCTCTTGCCTGTCCAGATTAATAGGATCCTCCTGCTGAATTGCTGCCTGGATGAAGCTCCTAGAGAGGATATCTTTTGTAGGGGGAATGACTCTTCAGTGAATCATTAGACACTTACATCATGGAAGTCCCTGTGTGGGGGAGGGGGGGGGGTTAAGAGCATGATTTTGCCTCAAAAAAAAGAAGGCAAAGGTCCCCACAGGTAAGCCCTCCGCTTCCAGATGCCCGAAAGGTTCCTTTCGTCCTTTTCAGAACTCTACTTCCAAGTCCAAACCCTGCACCCAGGTCAGCCACAAGTCTTGGACTCCCAAGCCTAACAGGTCTGGCTTCACATGAGGGGGCACCCCAGTTTTCCAGAGTGAAGGGATGGAACCCACCAGGTCAGTTATTGCCTCCCTTCAACAGGGAGAACGACTGGCCTCCCTAGACATTAAGGATGCTTACCTGTACATCTGCCTCGTCCCCCTGCATCAACATTTCCTGCGTTTTGCTGTGGGTGAGCAGCACCTCCAGGTTCTTACTTTACTTTCCCCTTTGGTCTGTCCACAGCTCTTTGAGTCTTCACCAAAGTGCTAGCCCCTGTCATTGATTTACCAAGGGGTTCAAGGTGTCCAAATTGTGAGGTATCTGGACGACCTCCTATTGAAGTAACGCTCAGTCCAGGCTCTGTCTGCCGACGTCCAACAGACAGTGCGGACTCTACAGAGCTTCAGGTTCATGTATTTCAGGTATATCAATAGTAAATATAGAGATATAGGTGTGCAGTATGGAGGGTGGAGTTCAGGTGTATGTAAATATGGGTGTACAGGTGTGGAATATGGAGGGTGGAGTTCAGGTGTATGCATGGTAAATATGGATATGGAGGGTGGAGTTCAGGTGTATGCATGGTAAATATGGATATGGAGGGTGGAGTTCAGGTGTATGCATGGTAAATATGGATATGGAGGGTGGAGTTCAGGTGTATGCATGGTAAATATGGATATATACAGCATAGAGGAGGCAGTTGTGGTGTTTACATAGTAGAGTATTTATATAGATAACTACACAGGTGAGCAGGATGGAGTGGGGAGTTGAGGTGTATATTATAGTAAATATGAAGATGTGTAGTATGGAGGGGGCAGGTCAGGTGTATACACAGGTAAATGTGCAGGGGCAATTAATGGGTATATAGGTAAATATATACAGGTGTGTTGTATGGAGTGGGAATTTAAAGTGTTACATATTAGTCATTATACAGGTGTGTATTATAGAGGGCAGAGTTCAGGTGTGTATATAGGGAAATATACAGGTGTATATTATGAAGGGTGCAGTTTAGGGATATATAAAAGTAAATATAAGATGTGTAGTATGGAGGGAAGGGTTAAGGTGTATACATTAGTAAATATACAGGTGTGTCTTATAGAGGGGGCAGGTCAGGTGTATATATAGGGAGATATACAGGTGTGTATCATGGAGGGGCAGGTCAGGTGTGTCTTATAGAGGGGCGAGGTCAGGTGTGTATTATGGAGGGGGCAGTTTAGGTGTATATATAGGGAGATATAAAGGTGTGTATCATGGAGAGGTCAGGTCAGGTGTGTGTATATATAGGGAGATATACAGTTGTGTATTATGGAGGGGCAGGTCAGGTGTATATATATATATAGGGAGATATACAGGTGTGTATCATGGATGGGGGAGGTAGGGTATATATAGGGAGATATACAGGTGTGTATCATGGAGGGGGCAGGTCAGGTGGATACAGGTGTATATACAGACTTGCAGTAGGTAGGATGTAGCAGGAAAAGCACAGGTATCTTCCTCAGCTGATATTATAGTACAATGGGAGAAGAGATTTGGGCTGGTAGTTTGGCAGATTGAGGGAGGACCGGCATCATTGTGGCCTCTTCATCCCGTCTGTCAGCAGGCCCTCTGAGGACGTTGTTTGGGATTCCCATCTGGCTCACGGTGGGATTCCCTCACACACATACCTGGACATTGTAATGACACATTATGTGGGCTCAGGTCATCTCCCCGGGGAGGACGGAGGCTGACGTCTGTCTGTGACTGCTGACAGCAGATGTTGACTGACCATCATGTGATGACAGAAGAGGAGGCCTATTATCCGGGGACACGGCACACAGACGCCAAGCTAATGTGAGGAGGAAGGAGACGCACCGACAGTCTCCTACTGTCACCATGAATGAGATCCGTGAGGGGATGGAAGTGTGACCGGGGTTCCCAGAGTATGAGATCTGCGGTCACACAGGGAGACATCCTTGGGGGAACCACACAAAGGAGACACACCATCTACAGAGGGGAGAGAGAGAGAGAGAGAGAGAGAGAGAGAGAGAGAGAGAGAAAGGGATAGAGAGGACGGGGGAAATAGAAAAGGGAGAGAGAGAGGGGAGATAGAGAGGATGGAGGGAGAGAGAGAGACAGGAGATGGGGGAGATAGAGAGGATGGAGGGAGAGAGAGACGACAGAGAGAAGAGAGACTACAGAGGGGAGAGAGAGGACAGACGGGAGATAGAGAGGGAGAGAGAGAGAAGAT